CCTCTTTCTCGGCCTGCCGAACCCGGGGGGAGCGCTAGCGGGCAGCCCAGAGTCAGGAGCCTTCGGTCTCCTTTGCTGCCACCTTGAGGGCGTTCAGACGGCTGCAGCTCAGCCCCGGGAATCCTGCCCACATCTTCCCTTAAATCCAAGAAGCGCGTGCCTCGGTGCGGGGTGAACCCTAACTAAACTGAACGGCTCCATGCCCCAGAGAAAAGCGAACTCTTTACGGAGGTATCCTGTTAGCGAATGAGCCATGCTTTCTTTCTTCGTTTTTTGTTTTTAATCCGATCGGTCGTGTCTGATTCTCGGAGACTGCCTGGACTGTCCCCGCAGTTTTCTTGGCAAGGGTTTTCAGAAGTGGGTTGCCATGGCCTCCTTCCTAGGGCTGAGAGAGAGGGCCTGGCCCAGGGCCTCCCAGCTGGCTTGGTGCCTGGGCAGGACTAGAACTCCTGTCTCCGGTTCCTAGCTGATGCCTTTAACCAAGGCACCAGACTGGCGCTCTCTTCTTTCTTTAACAAACTCTGATTGGCTGGGGTTACATGGGGAGGCCTGAGAAGGCCTGCAGGCCTAGGCAGGAAGCCCCAACTCACCCCCTGCCATTTGCTCCCCTGGTTCTCCGAGCACACTACGTTAGCCCAGAAGCCGGTGGCCAAGCAGACCCCCAAGGGAGCTTGCCAGCAGGGCAGGAGAGCTCCTCTTTCCTGCTGGAGGTCGGCATTCTGGCATTAGGCACTGACTGTCTGCAGGCTGCTTTATGACTGCGCTAAAACTATTTATCTACTCCCTGTAATTCAGGAAGTAGTAAAGAGCCCCAGAGCTCTTGGCCGCCCTTCAGATTGTGAGGGGGGGATGCGTGGGCAGCTCCTATTCCATTAGGATGGCCCCATGAATACCACATCGCAGGACATCCCTCCATCCACATCACACCCTTTTCTTCTGGAGTGAGCAACTTTACTCAGCGTGGAAAAGTAAGTCAAGGAAGTCGACAAGGACTGAGATAAGGGGAAGAAAAGGAGACGGTAAAACCATTTAGATTATGCCTCAGCTCCATGCAAGGGCATCTGTCTGAGTCTCCCCCTTCCTCTTGACCCATTCACTCTTCCCCCATTCATTTGGTTGGCAACTCAGCCCTTGTTCAGTTTCTGGGTGGCCAAACACCTCAGTGTGTTTCCTCTGGGCTGGCTGCTCTCTTTGGGGTCAAGCCACGTTTCTTCAGCAGCCCTAGGCCACCCAGGCAGAAAACTCATATTTGCTAGAAAGGGTCCCCAGCACGTGTCTTCTGGCATGGGCGCTCATAACTCTGCATTGTGAGGCTGCAGGCCAACAGGTGGGGTAGAGGAACTGGCTTGGCTACCTGAACTGTTTGTACTCCACCTTCCTATTTTGAAACACTCGAGGAGGTTCCCAGTTGCATCTTGTACATGGAAGCCTGTGGGCTATGGCATGGGAGCAGGGCGGGAGGCAACGGAACTGAATTCTCCCCCCCTACGAAGCCATCACGGCCTTGGCAGAGCATATGGTGCAGACAGCCCCTGTGGATTGCAAGTGGTCGTAGCACATTGTGTGATCTCAGCCCCTTCAGCTTTATTCCATAAAGCCCCCTTAAACAAGCCATGGCTTGCCAAAGGAGTGTTGAAACTCAGCCTGAGCATTAGCCAAACCCTTACACGGCCACCCTGCCATGCCCGCTTCCCATTCTTGGTGTTTAACTGCATGGAACCTTCCCAAATCCTGGCCGCCCAGATGAGGGACACCAGAAAGCCTCCCTCCCCAGGGAACTGGTTTTCATTTGCACAGCCCCAGCAGGACTTTGTTCCTAGTCTCAGGCCTAGCCGGTCCCACAGTCATGGAATTGGCAGTCAGGCTGCAGTGGCCTTCTTGAAAGAAAAGCTTTCCGCTTCAGCTTGCAGGGAGCAGGCATAGGCCTCCACTGTCTCCAGGAGAAGACATCAGGGAGCCCTTGTGATGCAAGACATTTGAAGCCAAGCAGAACATTTCCCCAGCATCCATTTAGAGCAGTGTTTCTCAACCTTGGTCACTTTAAGATGGGTGAACTTCAATTCTTAAAGTGACCAAGGTTGAGAAACACTGATTTCAAGGAGGCACCTTCCTTACCCTTCCTGGCTTTTAAAGGTTTCCAACGTACTCCCTGGAATTAGAAGAGGGGGCAATGAGACACACGCTCATGTGTGAATGGTCACCTCTTCCTTGAAAGTGGGGTTTCTTCCTTTAAGAACAGCCCAGGGTGCTAGCAGTGAGAATCAGTCAAAGCGGCCAGTTGCATTTATGAAACACCTACCCTCCGTGGGATGAAAACACAACTCAAGGATAGAAGGTCAGTAGCCATTGCTCTATCCCACCTTGCGGAACATCAGACATTTCCCTTCCAGCCTGAAAAAATGAAAGCACCAGATTACTACAGTGAAGTTACAATGCACAACAGCTCGAGATACCTCAGTGACAAGAGCGTGTACATGTGTGCATTCCTGAAAAGGAGGTCTCCAGGTGGAACATGGGCTGAGCTCACGTGCTTCAACTGTGAACCCTCTGCCAGAAACTCAGGCAACTAAAGGCATATTCTGCAAGACAGACCCAACCCAGTCAATCAAATTTTGTCCTAGAGTTTGGTGTGAACCCAGGCTGCGTGAATAATGGATGTTCACTATGTTGTGCAAATGCAAAAAATTATGCTGCTTGAATCAACTATGGTACATTAGGGGAATTCTGGGAGTTGAAGTCCACACGTCTTCAAGCTGCCAAGGCTGAGAAACACTGGTATACAAGCACAGCCATCGGTCTCACACAGCATCGATCGATTATCCAAGCCTTCTCTGATGTCGGAGTCTTGAGGAAAGTTAGAGGCAATATCTGTGTATAAGCTATACAGAACGAATCACAGCCTGCAGCTCCCTCCAGAATTAACTGGGCCACGAAATGTGGATTCCCGTAGCTTTCTGGGGAGCCGCAAAGCAAGGAAAACCCACCCCAGCCTTGCGCTCCTGGGCTGAGAAAAGCTGCTCCTTGCTGAGTCTTGGGCGGTAAACAAGGGAACCATCTTCAGCTAAGAAAAAAATGTGGGTTGTTGCCCAAGGAGGACTCCGCCTAGGAAGCGGCTGAGGGTGGGTGCTTGGTCTGAAAAGAGAAACGGAGGGGGAGTCCTGCAAAGAAGGCTGTTGAGTGGATTGGGCTTGGTTCCAGGCCTCGTGTGCTCTGAACGAGGTTGTGCCCAGCTTGGAGGGCGTTGGCTCGGCCCCTCTCCGGCAGTGGGGAATTCCAGAGCGGCTGTCCGGCAGCTGGCGGAGCACTTCCTTTCTCTCCATAATGGGGTCATGGGCTCCCAAACTGCTGGGTGGATTTTGCTCCTGATCATCATCTAGCATTGGCCAGGACAGTAGCATCCTAGGTCAGTCGCACAACAAGCTTGGTATGTGGGGTCTTCAACAGACCCAGTTAGGGTTTCCTTTGCAGTCGCTGCACCATCAACTAACCACGCTAGTGGGCTTCGTGTGCCACACGTACATAGAAATAAAGTGCCTTGTTTAGCCTGCTAAACCGTCCCTCCCTGATACCCAGCCAGGTCCCTCTCCTTTGATGTGTGCTGCCCACCCAAGGGGTTGCCCAGGCCTGCTGTCCCTCACCAGCCTCTGCCCAGATTTCCGGAGCTGAATTTGCCCACACACCAGGCTAGAACCCTCGCTGGCAAGCACAGCTCGGCCCTGGTTTTTTAGGGCTGTCCTGGGTGGGCTCAGCATTTTGTGGTCCTGTTTTCTCTGCTGCTTGTGATGCAATGTTTTGTAGGGCTGAGTGTTCAACCACATGATGGGAGCTGGAAGGCTGTTTTTTATGCACCTCGTCATTTCTGTCGGAGCTGAAGGCAACCCAGGCGTCTGCTACCAACCAAGATGATCCCCACTGTCCCCTCCTCTAGGGACACCTGTCAACCACAGGCATGTGAGGTAGGTTGGGAGGAGGCAGGGACTGGTTTATCAGGCTAAACAAGGCACTTTATTTCTGGTTGAGTGGCACATAAAGCCTGCTAGCAGGTTAGTCGATGATGCAGCAACTGCACGGGGCTCTTAATTGGGCCTGTTGAAGACCCCATGCACTCAGCTTGTTGTGTTCCTGACAATATCAGATGAAGCCATCTGTGCAATGGCATCATGATGCACGTGACACCTCTTGCCCCCCTCCAGGGGTATCCATATTATGTGAACTCAGAATGTTTGGTTGGCTCACGATTCACTATATTGTGGAAACCCAGAAAAGGGGTTAAATGAAGCCAAGTGTGTTGCATGAACCCAATCAATACATCTGTGAGTCTTCTGCTCAGTTGTGCAACAGCAGGAGATCTGCAACTTACCACCAAGTCCTGGTCATGAAGCCTGGCAGCAGCTAATTTATTTTGGATCAGTGAAGACCTTCTCAGCCACACATAAGGAAAAATTGCTCAAACAAATGTCAGATCATGAATGTGGGGCAAACCATGGCACCCTTACTTAGGTGTGGGTCTCCAGCTGTTTTGAATCATGGCGCCTTGCCACAGACAAATGCTGGTCATTTTTTTCAGGTGCTGGGCATTCCTCAAAAATGCAGTTAAAAGGATATCGATCCCCTTCATGTTCAGTTAATGAACCTGCATATGCTGATTCCCCACCCCCAGTTTTCTTCCTGCTGCATTTTTTGGGGTATTTTTTCCATCTCTGCAGCTTTTCCTTGAGTTTTGAGGAGACGTGAAGTGTGAGGTGGAAAGCGTTTTAGTCTTTATTCCATGAGATTTTTAAATGTTCTCTTGGGCTCAGGGTATATTTAATAGGTTCACCTTTTCTAGTTTTTTTGTGAATAAGGGATGACAGCTTTGCTACCATGCTTTATAGCAAACTCCAGTAGATGGCACTGAAGAATATGTAATCTCTACAAACTAGCATGACTACAAACTAGGAAGCTTCTCCTAGAATCCCAATTATCCTCTTAGTGAAGCTACATT